CCCCGCGCGCACCAAAAAAAGCGCCTCAGTCTCTCTCCCCCCAAACCCCTAAACCCTAACCCCTAACCCCTAAACCCTAAACCCTAAACCCTTACTTGTGTAGTAAGAGGAGTACAAATAGTATGAAGGCCTATATCTCTCTTAGAATAAGAGATAGGCATCTGTCTCCCTTTCCCCTCGTCTTTCTTTGTACTCAGCAACTGACCCAATACGTCCTCTATCGTAAACCCTTTCATCAATAAAACCCCCAACTCCCTGTAAACAAAATTAGGGTTTAGGGTTTAGGGTTTACGGTTTAGGGTTTAAGGTTTAGGGTTTATTTTAATATATTATATGTTATACTAAACCCTAAACACTCAGCAACTGACCCAATACGTCCTCTATCGTAAACCCTTTCATCAATAAAACCCCCAACTCCCTGTACATATAATTAGGGTTTAGGGTTTAGGGTTTACGGTTTAGGGTTTAAGGTTTAGGGTTTATTTTAATATATTATATGTTATACTAAACCCTAAACACTCAGCAACTGACCCAATACGTCCTCTATCGTAAACCCTTTCATCAATAAAACCCCCAACTCCCTGTAAACATAATTAGGGTTTAGGGTTTAGGGTTTAGGGTTTATTAATATATACTATACTAAACACTAAACCCTTAAGAGCTAACCCAATACGTCCTCTATCGTAAACCCTTTCATCAGTAAAACCCCCAACTCCCTGTAAACATATAAACCCTGAGGGTTTAGGGTTTAGGGTTTAGGGTTTATTAATATATTGTATGTTATACTAAACCCTAGACCCTTAGCAGCTGATCCAATACGTCCTCTATCGTAAACCCTTTCATCAATAAAACCCCCAATTCTCTGTAAATATATAAACCCTAAACCCTAAACCCTAAACCCTAAACCCTAAACCCTCAGCAGATGCCCTAATACGTCTTCTATCGTAAACCCTTTTCATTAGTAAAACCCTAACTCCCTGTAAATATTTTAATTTATATAAACCCTAAACCCTAAACCCTAAACCTTCGTGTTACCTGTACTGACATAAACCCTAAACCCTAAACCCTAAACCCTCACCCCTAAACCCTAACCCCTAAACCCTCACCCCTAAACCCTAACCCCTAAACCCTAGACCCTCATAATACCTGTATTGACATAAACCCTAAACCCTAAACCCTAAACCCTCGTGTTACCTGTAATGACATAAACCCTCACCCCTCACCCCTAAACCCTCACCCCTAAACCCTAAACCCTAAACCCTAACCCCTAAACCCTAAACCCTCATAATACCTTCATTGACATAAACCCTAAACCCTAGACCCTAAACCCTACACCCTAAACCCTCATAATACCTGTATTGACATAAACCCTAAACCCTAAACCCTAAACCCTAAACCCTAGTGTTACCTGTATTGACATAAACCCTCACCCCTCACCCCTAAACCCTCACGCCTAAACCCTCACCCCTAAACCCTCACCCCTAAACCCTCACCCCTAAACCCTCACCCCTAAACCCTCACCCCTAAACCCTAAACCCTAAGCCCTAAACCCTCGTAATACCTGTATTGACATAAACCCTAAACCCTAAACCCTCACCCCTAAACCCTAAACCCTCGTAATACCTGTATTGACGTAAACCCTAACCCCTAACCCCTAAACCCTAAACCCTAAACCCTAAACCCTAAACCCTCGTAATACCTGTATTGACAGAAGATGTGGTCCTCTGGCTGCAGGGCCTTCCCTATCCCTATTTGGGTGGCTTCCTCTCCTTGGTTCTGAATATAGAAAGAGAAACGACCTGAGCAGCAGCAGCAGCAGCAGCAGCAGCAGCAGCAGCAGCAGCAGCAGCAACAGCAGCAACAGCAGCAGGAGGAGGAGGGGTAGGGACAGAAGGATTAAGAGCAAAAGAAGCAGAAGCAGCAGCAGCAGCAGCAGATAGGTCGTTGCTGCAGCAGCGCATGCAACAGCAGCAGCATATCTTTTACTGCTGTAAAGCTGTCTGCTGCAGCAGCAGCAGCAGCAGCAGCAGCAACAGCAGCAACAGCAGCAGTATCAAGACTACCTTCTCTTCTTACCGTATATATTATCTTATAGTGTTTTGTAACAGCAACAGCAGCAGCAGCAGCAAAACTAGCAGCAGCAGCAGCAGCAGCAGCAGAACTAGAGCAGCAACAGAACTAGAACTAGCAGCAGCAGCAGCACCAAACAAACACCAGCAGCATCAGCAGCAGCAGCAGCAGCAGCAGCAGCAGCATACCTTGTCTTTGTACACTGTATAACATATTATCCCAAATACTGAGCTGCAGCATTTGTTTATAAAGAGAAAGAATATCATCTCTAGCAGCAGCAGCAGCAGCAGCAGCAGCAGCAGAACTAGAACAGCAACAGCAACAGAACTAGAACTAGCAGCAGCACCAAACAAACACCAGCAGCATCAGCAGCAGCAGCAGCAGCAGCAGCAGCAGCATACCTTGTCTCTGCACGCTATATAACATATTA